GCAGTCTCCTCCAAACACGCACTGTCTTGGTTAATCTGCGACTGCGACTAGTCGCTGCGTGCGCTGACTCGTCTATACTTGAAAAATAATTACAGATTTACGATACCTGAGATAGAAGATTTCTCAATTGACAGTGTGATTTGATTGGAAAAAAGGGGACCCAACCAAAAAAATTTTCTACTCACCCCTTGTTCCTTCCGGACACGGTCGGCTGGCTGTCGTTCCAGAGATTGTAGCCGGCCATTCGATTCCTCGTCTAGACGTCTTCTCGCATGTTTGTGGTGCAGATTGTGCGCCCATGCTAACGATAGATATCGATTAGTTTGGCGTAGGTGGGCGTAGATCAAAATCACTCACTCCCTCTTGACGTCATCATCGATTTCCGTAGTTGTCGACGATGTCGTAGTTGTTGTAGTGGTTGTAGTGGTAGTTGTAGTTGTGGTTACTGTAATTTACCGGATATAGGTTGACCAATCATAGCATAGCTGATCGAGCCGCCAACCAATCACAGCAAAACAACAGCAAGCAAGCATCTTACCCTCTATAGCACAAGTATAGGTGACATCCAAGTATTTTTTCGTTCCCGGACATGGATCATGGATGAAGAAATCGTTATTGACGATAAAACGACACTCACGGCGACCATCACAACTAGAACACAACAAATAGTAGACAGCAAGGATCAGTTGACTTCTCGAATGTTCCACTCTCTGTTTCCATCATCCTGGCATACCACTGCAACGCACAGCACGCAACGCGACGCAACGCAAAGCCGCAAGCAAACTCAACAAAAGCCACAACGCATATATGAGCAATTCCAAGCACCTTCAGTGCAGAAATATGTCGCTTCGAGATATTTACTGGTCTCTGGGCAAGGATCATCGAACATAATCGCATCGACCATAAACTCGCAACGCCGCAAGCCTTCACATCTAAACTTGGCAAAATGTAGATTTAGGATGTTCTCTTGTTTGCTCGTGCTGTATTTCAACTACTAAAAATCGAGAATGTGGAAAAAAAAGTTTTGTCCAAATCTAAAAAATCTCACAAAGCATGCATATGAATTCAGCAGAAATTAGTTACGGGCAATTTCGACGTTAAATTTTATTCCTAGAATAGACAAAACTGTTGATACAATTTCAAAGTTATTTTTCCATCTCGATATCCGTGTGAAGAATCAAAAATACAG